CACGCGGGCGGGCCCCCGCAGCAGGAAGCCCTCCTCGCAGGCGAAGCTGCAGGAGGAGCCGAAGGCTAGCTCCCCGGCCGGAGAGAGGCTGCAGTTCATGGAGCCGTGCGCAGGGGGGTCCAGGGAGCCACAGGTCACGGCTGTAACACAGGGAGCGGGCAGTGAGCAGGGCTGGCTGGGCCGCACCCGGTACAGGTGGAGGAAAGCGTCTGAGCGGTGAATCCCGACCCACTGACCCACGGACCCACCGACCCGTGAGCGGGGGCTGCCTACCTGTGCACGTGGGCTCCTCGTGGTCCCAGTGCCCGGACGCGGTGCACCGGAGGCGCGGGGCCCCCAGGAGCGCAAAGCCTTCCTCGCAGTAGAAAGCGCAGCTCGTGTTCCACGGGAAGGCCCCGGGGCCCGGGGAACAGTCCACGGACCCGTGGGCGGGACGTGCCACCTCGGGGCACTCGGCCACTGCGGGTTGGAAGGCACATGAGCGTTAGAGGAGAAGCCGCTTCCTGCTCAGTTTGCGTCAAGGACGGAGCAAGGGGCTGCCCTCCTTCCAAGGGGGTCCAGCGCCCGGGGAACTCCTGGGGGCGGCACCCCCACAGGGGCTTTCCTTCTCTGGTGGCGATTTCCCTCTTTTCTGAGTGTTACTCTGGTCCCAGTGTCTCTGATCTAGAGTCCGATCTCTCCACGGGCCCCTGAACGGGTTTGCACGGGCCTCAGTGCCGGGAAGGAGACCTCGGTCGGGAGCCGGCTGGTGGTGGTGGAAACAGGAGTGACAGACAAGACACGAGTTCACTTTAACCCCATGGCCCCCGAGGAAGGGGTCGTGGTCTCTGGCCGAGAAGATAAGACAAAGCGAGAAGGAGACGCTGAGGGTGGCTGACTGCACAGCCCTGAGCGGGTCTGTTGTTGACGTCGAACAGGGAGAGAAGGCGAGAGCCCCTGCGGCCTAGAGCGTGTGCCCGGGTTTGCAAGTTACCGGGGCCTCAGAGACACCCCTTTCACACGCAGAAAAAGCCTCTCTCACCCCAAGCGGGCACCACCCCAGCCATAGACACAGGCTGAGAGACAAGCTTTCTTAAAAGACAGCGACAAAAAGAACTTTCCCGAGAGTTTGAAAACGTTCCAAGTTGGGTAAAAAGCTGAGGCAGGGAGGGGTGCTTCGGAGACTCACCCTCGCAGCCTGGCAGGGGCGCACTCCACTCCCCGGAGGCGGTGCAGCGGGCGGCCTGGGGGCTGCTGGGCCGGTAGCCCTCCTCGCAGCTCACGGTGCAGGAGGCGTTGTAGCTGAAGCTCCCCCAGGGCTGGGTGCACTCCAGGCGTCCGTGCTCAGGGGCGTGCTGGGCAGGGCAGGTCACCGCTGGAAAGGGAAACCGAGTCAGTGCTGCCCTCTCTCAGCTCCTGTGGGAGGAGGGACCCCGGGAACTGCTGCTCCTGTGGGTTACAGGTTTCCTGAAAACGGCCTGTCTGCCTCGGGTCACAGAATCCAGGCCACAAGCCCCGAGGAGGTCTGTTCTCATGCTCATCTTGCAGCGAGGCAGCTGGGACTTGGAGCGCAGCTCCCTGCCACGGTGCCGGATACGTGGGGAATCTGGGGTTTGAACCTGGAGGGTCCGGCTTCACAGGCTCAGCCCTTGCCCACCGACCCTAGGCACCACACCCCCCGGAAAGCAGAGGCCTGCAGACCCGGCTCCAAGCCAGCGAGCTCGGCCGGCACTGCTGTCTCAGGGAGGGACAGGTGGCATCCCACTCACCCTGCTCGCACTGGAGGCCGCGGAAGCCGGGGTGGCACTGGCAAGTGTAGTTGTTGATGGTCTCCACGCAGTCGCCATGGCCGCTGCAGGACGTCGGGGTGCAGGCAGCTGCGGGCACACAGGCATGGCAAAGAGCATGAGCCTTGGAGGGTCAACAGAGAGCACCACAGACGTCACCAGTGACACGAGTGCCCGACGTTCTGACTGAGGCGCCTTCCCAGAGCGCCAGAGCTGAGCTCCAGGCTCGCGGCTTAAACCTTGATGCCAGCACACGGGAGTCAGGGGGACGGCCGTCCCTGGCACCAAGACTAGGAAACTCACTGAATCACAAACTCGAAAGATGGCTCCCCTGCCACCGGTAAACAAGGAGCCAAAACACGCCCTGTGGGTGTGCATATACACCCTACACACGTACAGACCTAGGCATGCAGCTATGGACACATGCACACATGGGTTCTTGCCTACATTCGCACAAAGAAGCAAAGAGATCCTTTCTCAAGCAGCACACGTTAACACCAGATCTTTCAGAACATAAAATCATCGCCCTCGCTGGTTTGGCTCAGTGGATAGAGCGGGCTCAGTCCCCAGGAGGAGGCAGCCGATCAATGATTCTCTCTCATCACTGATGTTTCTATCTCTCTCTCCCTCTCCCTTCCTCTCTGAAATCAATAAAAATATCTATTTTTTTAAATCACATAGAGGTCAGTGTTTGCCTAGTGCCAGCAGTTTGTGGCGAGGCCTCCCTCCCGCCGCCATGCCCACCTGTGTAGCACAGGGCGCCCCCCGGCCGTGCCCACCTGTATAGCACAGGGCACGCTTGCGTTTGCTGCACAGCTCGTCGTTCCACTTGCCCGGGTCCTGCTGCCGCTTGATGTAGATCTCCACGCAGTCCTCGTTGGCCCGCTTGTTGTTCGGCTCCCCGGGAGCCCAGTTCGCGGCCTCCTCCGTCAGAGGCTTCCCGGTGCCGATCCAGACCCACTGGCCTTCGACCTTGCGGATCCCGATCCAGTAGTAAAAGCGTGAGTGTTTGAGTATGGAGTCCAGGTACTGAATCTCCTCCTGGTTCTGAATCGCCACCAGGTGGGTGTAATGCTGCTGACAGTAGGTGCTGGCCTCGTCAAAGGTCATGTCCGTCTCGGAGGCATTGTAGGACCAGGCTCCGCCCTGTCTGACCAGGAGGAGCGCTGAGCAGGAAACGTGAAAGGAAGGAGAGCGGTTAGTCCTGCCGTGGTCTGGCTCTGAGCTGGCCTTCCTCCCCTCCCCACTGTTCTTCCTCCTTTCACTGAGGGAAAGTACAGTTTGCCACCCTCACATGGTAAGTGCACCGTTCAGGGCATTAAATGGTGTCATCTGGGCAGGCCTCACCACCACTCATCTCCACACTCTTCCATCCTGAACACTGAAACTTTAAATCAGTGATGGCGAACCTCTGACACTTGAACTCATTTTTTTGGTTGATTTTTCTTTGTTAAATGGCATTTAAATATATAAAATAAATATCAAAAATATAAGTATTTGTTTTACTATGGTTGCAAATATCAAAAAATTTCTATATGTGACACGGCACCAGAGTTAAGTTAGGGTTTTTCAAAATGCTGACATGCCGAGCTCAAAAGGTTCGCCATCACTGCATAAATCTATTGACCTATGACCCCCCACCCCCTGCCCCAGCCTGGCAACCAGCATTGCACTTTCCGTCCCTATGGCATGCTCTGCCCAGTCTCATGCCAGCGGAGCTCTACCGCTGTTACCGGGCCTTTTACCCTCTTAGGGAGGCGGACATGGGCTTCAGGGTGACTCAAACCTCATTCGCCTTTTCCAAAGTAAGAAGGGGTTTGGACGGAGAAACTTCCGTTTTCTGCACTTTTCTTCTGAGACTGACTCTGCACTTGCTTTGCCTGCTCCCACCACAGCCCATAGGTCCCCTCTGCAGGGGACAGTGGTCAGAGTGAGCAGGCGCTGCTGGGCGCCACCAGCCTGCCGGGGAGCTGTGCCTGCTGTGCCCCTGACCCTCACGTGCCTCTGGGACTTAGCTGTGCGTGGTCAACACCTTGCACTGACGGAAACTGAGGCACAAAGAGGTAACCTGCCCTGGCCCAGGGCAAGCCCCATGGTGTGGGAGGCCGGGACGCTGCTCGGCCCTGCGGTGCACAGGGTGCCCACCCACCGGGAAGCATCATCGGTCCGAAAGGGCCCCGGGGCCCCGATGGAGGATGGGAGAGCTGCTCGGATGACATTGGCTTACCAAAGGCCAGAGCAGACAGCAGCCGCGGGGCAGTCATGGCTTCCAGAGTTCTTCCCATCGAAGGTCAGACTTGAGGTGCTTTTCTGGGGAGAAAAGGCACAGAACGAATTACAGAATGAAACCCAGGCGGCCGGTTCCTCGGCTCATTCTCCAGGGATGTTTGGGGCAGCCTCCCAGGACCTTAGGTAAAGGGCTCCAGGACCACAATCTCTATGAAAAAGAGGTTTGCCTGAATGAATAAATGGGAATTTTAAATGTGCACCCTTGAGGTCAAAGGGAAAAGCCAGCCTTTGCCTGTCTGGATGTAGAAAGATCCCATCGGGAGGCCGTTGCATATCTGTTCATAGCGGTCACCTCAGTTGCATGGCCCAGGGCTGCTCATTAGAGACTTACGGGTTTGTGGAGAGGTTGTTTCCCTGTCCGATTCTGATTCCCGGTGCGTCCCCTCTGTGCCCGTCCCCTCTGAGTCCCCGTGCCGCTGCGTCCGCTGCTCCTGCAGTGCTGGTGCCAAGTCAGCCGACAACAGCAGAGCCCGCTCTGCCGGAGACTTTATAGGGCACTGGCTTCCTGTGAGTCACAGGAGAACACTCCAGACCCATGGGCAGGAATTCCCAGCAGCATCTCAGAAGTTTCCCGGGAATATCCGCGATGCTAAAGATTATAATGATACCAGGAACCCTGCCCCTCACAACCAAGTCTCCTTTGTTACACACCTTTCCATTTTACATGAATTCTATTAATATCACAAAAATGCATGGTCTTTCATTTTAATCATGTAAAATCTCCATCTTTAAAAGGTTTTAAAACTTTGCTAATTTGCCCTGGCTGGTGTGTTCAGTGGTTAGAACGTCGGCCCATGCACTGAAGGGTTGAGGGTTTGATTCCCAGTCAAGGGCACACACCTGGGTTGCAGGTTCGATCACTGGCCCCAGTTGGGGCTCATTGGAGAGACAACCAACCGATGTGACTCCCTCTTTTTCTCCCTCCCTCCCTTCCCCTCTCTCTAAAAAGCAGTGGAAAAAATATTCTCAGATGAGGATTAAAAAAAAAAAAACTTTGCTGATGAGCAGCAGCTCCTCTGTAATTGTGGTAGTAATGCCAGTAATGGGTTACCAACCACATTTTTCCTCTTTCTCACCTATCAAGTCGACCCATTTTAAGGCACACTGTCTCGCAGAGGAATGAGTCACAAGCTGCACAATAATCCTCAGATTCTGTGCATAGTTACAGCCAAATTACTAGAAATAATATTTCCAAAATGTATTGAGTACTTACTATGTGCCAGCCCCCATTCTGAGTATTTTGCACATTCATCTATCTGACTATTTAATCTTCACAGCAGTCTATGAAATAGGTACTCTTACTATCCCCATTTTAAAGATGAGGACATTGAGACACCGGAGATTTTACCTTCTCAGCCAAAAGCACAGAGCTATGGGGGAGACCCAGACAGTCACTCTCAGAACCTGATCCCTTAACTGCTACCTCATGTCCTGGTTCCTCTTATTGCCAGGCCCTTGATGGGCCTCCCTGTCCTGCTCGAGTCTTCAATCTTTCTTCTTCTTCCCCGAGCAACAGGATCACCCCAGCTTTCAGCTGGGAGAGCTGATATTCATGGATCCTGAGACACGGAGGCAGGAAGGAAATCCAGAACAGAGGACAGAGGCTGCAGTGAGAATGGATCCCAGCCCCCAGCACATGGGGAGAAAGAGGACAAAGAAGTGAGCGTGCAGGCCGAGCATCCCTGGGAACCACTGTGGACCCCTTTGCCACACTTTCTAGGAGATCCTGACTCAAGAGCAAATTCTCTCTGGAGCTAAAGGACAAAATGATTATTTAAATGTAAATTGAGATAACTCGAGGAGAGAACCCAATACCACAAGTGGGATAGAAGAAATGAGTGGATGAGACTTGTGAGTAAAGGTAACCTATTATTATTATTACTAGAGGCCCAGTGCACAAAATTGAGTGCGGTAGCCCGCTGCTGCTGACCTCGCTCGCCGCCCCGCCCACCCACCTGCCACTGATTGCGACGCTTGCCCGCCAACTGCCTTGCTGCAATCAGAGCCTGTGGGCTGCAGGGGAGGGACCAAGAGGTGGTCAATGCACCTCATGGCGACTGGTCGAGCGGTCGTTCCGGTCGTGATGCTTATGGCCTCTGGCCTTTTATCATATAGGATTGTAACAGTGGGAATTGCAACCCACCCACCATTCTCTTGACATTGTTTCTTTAAATGCTGACTCGGACTAGTATGCAGCTTGAAGATAAACAGCATGTTTGTCTAAGAATCCTAGGAATTAACTTCAGAAGATACAGGCCCTGAACTTCAGTCATCCCTGTTCCGGGAGATTTGCTGACCTTCAAATGTAGAATCAGGATGACAAAGACCAGGATGATGCATATCAGACCATCACTTGACCAGTTTTGAGATCCTTATCGGAATGGACTATGCTGGAATGAATGTAGAGGACCTTTCAACCCCCTCTCCTTGATTTCTTTGTTCAGCTTTCCCTCTCCCCACTTATGAAAACCACTGAGGTGGGGAGATGGGCTTGGACAAGAGTCCCCCATCTCCTCGAGATGCCGGCACTTGAATGAACCTCTTTCCTTTTTCACCAGCACCTGTCTGGTGAGTTGTTTTTTTGTTTTGTTTTTTTTGTTTTTTGTGGCAGCAGGCAATCGAACTTGGGTTCTGGTTGCATTATTATTGTCACCAGAGGTATGACGTTCCAAACCTACCACCGTCATCCTGCATTCTCCCAGAGGGAGCCCCTGAGGGGGGTCTGAGAATAGGTGCCTGGGGTGTAGGGGTCTCTCTTCAAGCTCCAGGGCTGCTGAAGGGTCATAGACAGACCTGGAGGCCTGTCATAGAGAGACCCCAGCACAGGGAGGGGCAGGAACCGATGACAGATAGACTGCAGCCTCTTCACCTGCACTTTCCTGTCAGGTGAAGGGCACCCCCCTTGGGCGCAGCCCCTTGTTGGAGATCAGCAATGAGTTGCAGAGGAAATTGGGTGAGAGTTGAATAGTTGGGGATGTTGAATCTTCTCTCTCACTCCCCAATAAACCTAATTTCCCCCAAGTAACATGCTGATTAGAAGTGTCCCTGCTGGGTTGCACCTGTGCTTCACATGGGCCCCTTTACAATCTCCATCGTGGGGGAGACAAGAGAAAAAGCAGGAGGTGGGGCACACGTGGGCACAGCCCAGCCCCACCACTGGGCCTGCTTGGTCTCAGAGGCGCCACACTTCCCGAATGAGCATCCCTTTCCTGGAAGCTCCTGCCCGCTCCTCCTTTAATGGGGCCCCGAGGACTCAACCGCTTTCGCTTCTGTGCCCAGGTCAATTCACGCTCACCTTTATGACGCAGGGACAGCCCTGAGGGAGCGAGAGCCAGAGCAAGGATGTTGGGGTTTTCAAGATGAACGTTGCCGTTTTCTCCAAGGCGCCCTGTGCACCGTCGATGGCTGGGGACAAAGAAAAGCCACAGGCGGGAAAAGGCAGCACCGGCCATGACACAGGCAGAAAGGCAGCCTGTGAAAGGCGTGGATTTAGCGCTGGCTCCTCGCTGCTGATGGGAACGGCAAAGCTGGCAGGGGCCGTCTTTCGCCGAGGCTCTCAGCCCTCACCTCTGGGCAGGGTTGCTAGGCGCTCATTTTTTAAAAATTTGGCACCTTCCCCCCAAATTCTACTCTGCTGACATCTAAAGCACTTCTGCAGGGTCTAAGGTAGGGGAGGAAATCCCAATAAAGGTTCAGTCCTACGTGCAGAACGCAGCTGTATTTCTTGCACACCCCAAATCCTGAAATACACTTCATACCAGTGTACCGTCACGGTGTCCAATGGCGTGCCTTGTTAGATCAACCCACGGGCATATTTGATGGGAAACTGATCTGGCTCCTGCTAAGTTCATTCCCCAGGAAGGCTTGGCCATTCATTTGGGATTTGGAGATACCTTGGGTCATCGGAGTCAGGTAGGGGCCCTGGGCACTCTTGATCTGCACTCCCACACCCGGGGGGACGAGGGGGGGGGTGTCTCAGATTCTCCTCTTGAAGAAGACTAACTGGGCAGCTCAGTTATTTCTTTATTTGTTTGTTTAGAAAATATTTCACTTATTGATTTTAGAGAGAGGGAGAGAGAGAGAAACGTCAATGTGTTGTTGCACTTGTTTATGCATTCGTTGATTAATTCTTGTATGTGCCCTGACCGGGGATGGAGCCACAGCCTTGGCGTATCAGAATGACACTCCAACCAACTGAGCGACGTGGCCAGGGCCATGGGCAGCTCATTTAAAATGCACATCTTAGGTCCAACATCCAGAGAGTCTGACTCCATAGGCCTGGGTGGGGCCCAGGAATCTGCTCTTGAAGCGAATATCTCAGGTGATTCTGACACGATGGCCAGGTCCTACCACTGAGATGCACTGGCCCTGGGGCCACCTAATGTGGGAGGGAACACGGAGAAGGCCTGCGGCGGGTGCTCAGTTACTGGTGCCGGATTAGCTGCAGTCAATCCTGACACCCTCTCTCCTGGACGGCCGGACGCCCGTCAGTGGCAGCACTGGGCAGACGCAGGGACGATGCAGGGTGAGTGGGGGTTTCAAATTCCTGGACATGGAAGGTGAGTGGTTTGTAGCCAAGGACAGGGAATTGTGGCTCGTGGGGACATATGTATGCACCTAGGAGCTTGTTCTCTGTTCTCCGCTTGACTTGGAGGAGAAATGGAATTCCACTCCCCTTTCTAAATTCTCTAGATAACGCTGAGACACTTAACATTTCCTTGCTTCCTGCGTGGCAGAACCTTATCTCGAGGCTTCCTTCTTCTGTTTGGGGATGTAAGCAGTAACTAATGGAAATATCTCCAAAATGAGCCAGTGCTGGTGAATTCCGAAGGCGGAAGAAACCGGCGCGCGGGCTGGAACTGACAGCTCTTCCTGGTTGGTAGCAGGGGAAATGCCCAGGTTTGAGAAAAGCCCCCGCGCTTGTTTTCCTTGGCTGTTGCGTCCCTTGTTTTGTAAGTCCGAAGTTTCCTCGGGGGTTATTCTTAGCTCTGTGGTGCCTCACATCAGAAAAATCCTGGCCTGGTCACTTTTCAAATAAGAAGAGATTGCTGTTTTATACAACTTAGCTCTGCGACTGGAGCAAAGCTTCTTTGCCTCTTTATTTTGTTGTTGTTAATCCTCACCTGAGGATGCTTTTTCCATTGCTTTTCAGAGAGGGTGGAAGGGAAGGAGGAAGAGAAGGGAGGGAGGGAGGGAAGGAGAAACATCAATGTGAGAGAAACACGTGAACTGGTTGCCTCCTGCACATGCCCCAACTTGGGGCGGGGAGCGAACCCACAACACAGCAACCCAGGTATATGCCCGTGACCAGGAATCAAACCCACAACCCTTTCGTCCACGGGCTGATGCTCTAACCACTGAGCTATGGGTCAGGGTGCTTCTTTGTCTCTTTCAGTCTCAGATTTCCCATCTGGAAACCAAAGGCACTGGACCCCGGTCCCTGCCGGCT